CCATTCATGTGTTCTTTTATTTGGAATTATTTTGAGATTCATCCATGTTATTCAGTATCAGAGGTTTGTTCTTTTTAGCAGCCTAATAGTATTCCATTGTATGAATATACTGTAATTTTTGAAATTCATTATTTTGTTGATAGGCCACCATTCACATACTTATAAAGATATTTTCATATGCATGTATTTTCTTTTGGGTAAAAACTGGGGTGCAATTATTGGGTAATAAGATAAAACAATATCTGGCCGGCGCCGCGGCTCACTAGGCTAATCCTCCGCCTAGCGGCGCCGGCATACCGGGTTCTAGTCCCGGTCGGAGCGCCGGATTCTGTCCCGGTTGCCCCTCTTCCAGGCCAGCCCTCTGCTGTGGCCAGGGAGTGCAGTGGAGGATGGCCCAGGTGCTTGGGCCCTGCACCCCATGGGAGACCAGGAAAAGCACCTGGCTCCTGGCTCCTGCCATCGGATCAGCGCGGTGCGCCGGCCGCAGCGCGCCGGCCGCGGCGGCCATTGGAGGGTGAACCAACGGCAAAGGAAGACCTTTCTCTCTGTCTCTCTCTCTCACTGTCCACTCTGCCTGTCAAAAGATAACAAAAATAACAAAGGAAAAGATAAACATATCTAATAAGAAATACCAGAGTTCTTTAAAGTAGTTGAATCATTTACCTTGCCAAGACAATATATGAGAATTCCATATTCATATTAACTTACCAATACTTATTCCTGCCACTCTTTTCATTTCAGCCTTGCTAATGGGTATGTAGTTTTTTGTAACATTGTCCTGATGAACAATGATTTTGTATCCATCCCATTTTTTTTTTTTGGTTCTTTGTTCTTTCATCTTTTTCATGAAAGTATTGTTGGGGCCATCTGACTGAGTAGTTAAGCCCTTGCTCTCAAATATGCACGTATGAATATGAGTATCTGGAGCTCTGAAAAATATAGAGAGCTTCAAGGAGTCTTCTCTTCAGCAGCAATTGCTGTCAAGACTCTGCCTATGCCTTCTTTATTTGTGACCTTTCTTTTGGCTTGTATGTGTGCAAGTCCAAAAGTGGCAAGGGACTCATGCTCATGGAAGCATCCCTCAGCCATTACGTATCAGATTTGGAGGTGGAATCCTCTGTTAGTCACATACATTGCATGATAAATAATGTTCTGGCGTATTCTACACTGTCTCCCAGAGTCCTCAACTGGAATGACTGTTAGTTCTCCACGGGAATAACTAATTCAATGATGCAACCTTATTGGCTAATTCTTTATCTCTACTAATTTATTTTACTAATTTCTCTGGACTCATTCCAAAATGAACTACTTTTACTCAAATTCTAGCATTGTGAAAAGCTTCTGAGGAAACACAGCTAAGGCATCTATTCCAAAATATGTATGTTGGAACATAAGAGTTAACGTATGAAGGACTAAGAATTGATTTGGCAAGCTATGCTGTTGAAGTTATAACAATAATTTCCTGAGTTACCACAAAGATGAAAAGAGCAGACGAACATAGCGGAAAATCATTCATCTCAGTGCCTTGTGGAAGCAAAGTCCCTGTAGGCTGGTGGGCAAGGCAGTTGGAATAGATTTTCCAGAAAGTGTTGCATCTGGCAAGGTCATTGAAATGTAAACTGAGAGAAGAGGACATTCTAGATAGTAGGTGGCTGTGACAATGGCATGAAAATGCTAATCACATTTGGGATAAAAATCTCTCTAGATTATAGAGTTTGAGGATTATAGGGAGAGGAACCAAAAACAAGCCTTGCAATTAGAAATGGTCTTAAACAGGAGGATAAGAAGTTTTTATTTGGTCTCATAGAAGGTAGAAAGGCACTGAACATTTTCAGGCAAGGGGTAAGAAAATAAATGGATTTAGAAAGACTAATCTCGTGTCATTGTGGAGGATCAATCAAAGCTTCAGGTAGAAGGTTCTTTGAGTTTTAGTAGCTTGACTATAAACAAATAAAATTCTAAAAATGTGTGATGGTAATAGGCATAGATGGAAAGGACAGCATCAGTGTGAGAACTACTGAAGAGGTTCAGTAGATTTTGGTGCTAATGATAATAGAAGTAGGAAGAGAGATACATGAGTCCAGGCTGTTCCGTGGCTTGGTAATTAGTTTCAAAATGTGGTCATCACATTAGCAAAAATAAATAATGTGGGAGATGAGCTGTTTTAGAGTAAAACAATTTGCTTAATTTTATGCACAGTACTTTAAATGTTGTTTCCTTTTGTGATGATTGATAGTTACACAACCATATCCAACATGTGTTTTCAGATGTGGGGCTAAAATTCAGGAGAGTTTAGGGTGTTAGCTTCTATCAGGGAGTCATCTTCTTAGAATTAATACTTAAAGTTTTGACCAGGACTGAAATCACAAAGGAGAAACGTTGAAAGAATTAGGAACACAGAACTGTGGATTAAGTCCAGGAAAATGACCTAATTTAAGGAGAATAAAGAAAAAGAGATGTAAGTAGTGAGGCTAGAAGGGACAGTCAGAAGGGACATGAAGTTGAAGGGGAAGATGATGGTAATGAGGAGAGGGTAAACACTGTCAGAGACTTCAAAGGCCAAGGCAGATGAAACTTCTTAGAACTCTGTGAAAGGCAGTATGTTATCTTGACCTCAGCGGACTCTCTGGAGCCTAACTGGGAAGCTGCAGTCTAAATGTATATCTGGGCCGGTGCCGCGGCTCACTAGGCTAATCCTCCGCCTGTGGCACCGGCACACCGGGTTCTAGTCCCGGTCGGGGCGCCGGATTCTGTCCCGGTTGCCTCTCTTCCAGGCCAGCTCTCTGCTATGGCCCGGGAGTGCAGTGGAGGATGGCCCAGGTGCTTGGGCCCGGCACCCTATGGGAGACCAGGAGAAGCACCTGGCTCCTGCCTTCGGATCAGTGTGGTGCGCCGGCCGCAGCAGCCATTGGAGGGTGAACCAAAGGCAAAGGAAGATCTTTTCCTCTGTCTCTCTCACTGCCCATTCTGCCTGTCCAAAATAAGTAAATAAATGTATATCTCTATCCCTATATATCTATACCTATATTTGCATATAAAGCATAAATAATAAAATATATAAAACGACATAATAAAATCACAAAATCTTTGAGCAACACTGGGTGGGCGCTGCAAGAGCTTGCTAAGGCCTGGAGAATACACTGGAGGCTTCAGAAATGGAACCAAGTAGGAAGTACAACTTGAGTGTGAGTTTTCCAAAAGAAGGGGAGAAGTTTCTTTTTTATTTTCGAAGGAAGACCACCAAGAGAAAAATCATTGAGGAGAGACAGATTCCTCTTGGGAACATAACTAGATTAAGAGGTAAGGGTATTTACACATTTAATTAAAATTTAAGACTCCTGAGCTAATCTAAATGTGAAAACAGATAAGAGACTGAGCCTTGGACTAGAAGACCTTGTATTAAAGGGGCTATTTACAGAAGCAGCAAAGTTAGGGAAAGTCATTGGTTTTAGCAACTGCCGATGCAAAACAAAAGCCAAGACACTTTTGGGGTTAAAGATAACTTTTGGGATGGGCTCATTTATTATTGGAATTGACTATGTACATGGTACAAATAATAGGGAGATTTAGAGAGTTTCTATACCTAGAACCAAGTTTTCTGTACTTAGAATCTAGCACAAATATCTTGTGTTTCTAAAATTGTACTGCTACTTCTCCATCGTAGAATTGTCCTAGGGAATGTGTATACATTTTTATTGCTGTATTTGTACATCTCATTGAATTGTTGAACCACAGAATCATATGGAAGAACACATGGTTAGGGTTTTGATAACAGATGAGAGTGGGTAAGGGAAATAACCAGATAATTTGGTTTCCTTAACAAGGCTGTGTTTTCCGGTTTTTAAATTATTAACTACCATTAAATCAGTAACTTAAATTTTCTTTTCCTTTTCTAAATATTTTGACTGTTATGCTAGAAATGCACCTGACTCAAGTGCTTGAGTTGCTGAGGTCCCTACCTTCTTTAGTTCTCCCAAGATACACAAACTTGTCTTCAGAAAAGTTGTTCCTCTAAGGATCCAATGGTATCAGCATCTAGCTCAATGGCAAACACAATCTTGGACAAAAATTTCTTCCCCACTGAGTTTCCTGAATATAATGGAGATGTGATTAGCACATTTTCCCAGTGATTGAGTTGGCATGTCTCCATAGATTTATAAATAGAATTTATTGTGAAACTTACTGTGCTACTGTAGTAAGTGGCTATTGCAACTTGATGATAGAAAGCGTTCTGTGAAAAGAAACTATTATGTGTCTTAAATGCTATGGCCATCTGAGGACAAAGGACAAAAGACTCAAGTGGGTTTTGTTTTCAGTGAATTCTGTCCTATAGACAGTTGTAAACAACCATATATATTTAACATTTAGCAAATTGACATTTTTCTGCTCCTGTTTTCAGTTACATTGCGAGAGCAGGTTTGGGATAAATGTCAATTTCAAATCTTTTACCATTTTACTGCCTTTGGTAGAAGAGTGACCTGCTGGAATGTATCCAGATTTCTCCCCAGGAAAGCCTTAGACTCACAGAATCCGAAGACCATTTTGAGTCAAGCACCACTCTGTGCCTTAATCTAATCATCATAAACTTGGATTTTTGTTGTTGTTGTTGTTTACTGTGATCATGTGAGACAAATAATGAATTTTAAGGTGAACATTGTGATGAAAGAACATTTGTATTGTTGAAAATATCACCATTGCTGTCACTACTAAAGTGTATCTCATTTCTGAAGGATAGAGTTGCCTCTCGTACTAGGAAAACTGTTTTCAGTAAGAACGATTTCAATGTATCTTTGTGCTTTCTGATTGAGTCAAAATTCTAATGGTGAGTAAACACTTCTGGCCTGACCAGAATTTAATGCTCCCTCTTAAACCATCAGCCACCACCTTTAATCAGCTGGGTCCTGTAGCATGTGCATACGTGAGAAGGCATGCTGCTGTGTCCAGCTGGCTTGAGTTTTATACAGAGCTGTCTTTACATTGCATTTCTTTCTTCTTGATAGTCTAGCTCCACAGTGAGAGCCTATCAGACAAGTAAGTCACGAGTGACCATGAGCCCTGGCTTCAGCTCTCAGTGGAACAGCAGTCAACCAGCCTGGAATACATACTCCTTTCCAAGAGCAAGCTTGCACTACCAGTCCCATGCCAGCTATACATACTGTACTGGACACCCTGCTGTGAGTACCCTATTTTTTTCTGTATTTATTAAGTTGGATCCTTTTTTGCAGTTACGTATTTGAATCTAGAGTTAGTATCAATAAATCAGACTGTAATTCTGCAACTCTTCAAAGGTAAGAATATGCTGCTATTAGATAAAAGAAATGAACAAATGGGAGTGTCTTAAGCATTTAAATGCCTTAGGATTGGTTGATGTTTGCTGAAAATTGATATTTCATTAGAAGTTATTTCTATGAGACATAGATTGATACATTTTCAGAATGGATCGGTGTGCCAACCTCATGTTTATGTGGCTGTGGTTCTATTCTTGACTTTCTCTTGGTTATCATTATTATTATGAATGTGTGTGTGTATTTCTGTGTGTGTGTGTGTGTGTGTGTGTGCTGGGAGACTACGTTCTTCAAAATGGCACAGAGGAAGCAGTGGGCTCTGAATTTTCCCAAATTCACCATTAGCCTTTTTGATATGTTTATACAGAAATATGTATGTAGGAATACATTCATCATTTGAATAATTTCCAGTTAGTATTGCACAGAACACAGGAGTTTATTGTCATAGATAACTCAAAGGACAAGAGAAATACAGTTAGTAGCAGAAATGAACTCAGAATTTGAGGACCCTTTAAAATAGGGTACTTATTGCTGCCAGTGTATTCTTCTGTGTTTCAAACCAATCTTCACAAATTAGGATTTTTGTTTTATTGCAAATTACATTTTGTGCACTTAGAAAAGATCACATGAATGTTAATTAGGAAATTTTCTGTTTACTGCAAAATATTGAAACACAGGACTCCTGGGTAATGGAAGACTTGAAAGTGAATCACGTGTTCATCTCATAGCAATTACTCCAACTGAAGTCCTAGTAGACATGAGTTCTCCAGCCATTCTGAAGCCGCTGTGGACTTCTGCACTTTGTCTAACCTGTCTTCAATTCAAGGTTATGAAATCATAAAGTACCCAGGGCTTCTAAGTGGAGAGAATGTGTCTCAAACCATCTTACAAAATCATTTAAAGGAAGACTTAAGGAATTCACTCAAAATGTAAATTAGTATGACTTTGTTCAAAAGCAATTTGAAAGTAACTATCAACATTTAAATTGCACATACTTTTTGACTCAATTATTAAACTTTTGGCATTTAATCGGATGTGTATGAGGAGATATGCATAAGGGTGATGTTAGCAATAATTCAGAAAGTACTTGGATAAAGAACCTGAATAACCATAAGTTATTTTCATGTATCCATTCTTTGACCAAATCTTCAAGAATTATTAAAAGTTTACAATGTTCCAGCATTCTTCTAGGTGAAAGAGGCATGGGAGTGAACAAGAACAAGTATTTCTCTCAGGGGGCTTCTATTCTAGGAAAGGGGGGAACTAGTAATTAGCATAAATGAACATATAAATACAGTCAGATATTGCTTAAACAAGGGGATGTACTGGAAGACCTGTGTTGCTAGGTGATGTCATCAGTGTAGGAAACTCACAGACTGTGCTTACTTACCTGCACCCAGATAGGTCTATCACTCGACACAGCCTCTCAATGCACTCAACAGAAACAGTGAACACAAGGTGTATGAGGCTGCTGCTGGCCTCACACAGCATTCTATTTGTAGTAAGCTTTTAAAAATATATATGTGTGTCTGTGTGTAAAGGATTACACTCTGAAATAATTATTTAAAAGTATAGCATAGCAAATACCAAAACCAGTAACATTGCTTATTGTCATTATTATCATCATAATGATAATATCAAGTATTATGTATTATAATCATAATATAATAGGATAGCATCATAATATCATATATAGTATTGTAACCATAATATCAAGTATTATGTTTGTGACAGGCAGCACAGTAGGTTCAGTTATACCAGCATTACCACAGACATGTAAGTAACATGTTATACTACAATGGCTCTGTGACAACTACTATATTATTGGTGATAAGAATTTTTCATCTCCAAAATAGTTTTATGGGACCCCCATCATCTATGTAGTCCATTGCTGATTGAAATATTTTTATGTGACACCTGACCATAAATAAAAACAAGAAAAATATACAATAGTGTTAGATCCTGTGTAGAGAAATGAAATAAGTTGAAGTGATAGAGTATGATTCGATGGTTACTTGAAATTGTATGGTCAGTTAAGTCCTCATTTGGGAAGCCAGGTTTTTAAAAATGTCTATTTTTTTATTTATTTGAAAGGCAGAGTGATAGAGAGAGAGAAAATAAAGAGAGAGAGGGAGGGAGCTCTTCCAGCCACAGGTTCACTCCCCAAATGGCCACTGTTAGACCAGGCTGAAGGCAGAAGTCTGGGTCTCTCACATGAATGTCAGGGTCACAAGGTATATGAGGACTGCAAGTGGAGGTAGGAAACTGGGAGGTCAAGTATTATCCGGGTTCTGAATGATACAGAGATAGAACTACACAGCATTCAGGAGGAAGAACATTCCAAACAGAGGTAACAGCATGAAGGACTTGAGACAGGAATAAGGCTGGATGCTCACTAAGCAGGGAGAAAGCCAGTGGACCTGGAGAGAATGGAAGAGATGAGGTCAGGAGAGAAAGGCAGGGTTCAAAGTACATAGCCCCCCATAAACCAGAATAAGGAGTTTGTCTTTTATGTAAGTGTGGTGGGAAACCACTGGAGACTTTTAAGCAAAGAAATGATACAATGCAATCTAATTCTTTTTAAGATTCACTCTGGGGGCTGGGTAGAAATTTCTGAAAGATAAATAAGAAGGAAATCATAGTCAATTTAGAAGAATATTAAATACACATACATACATATGACTGAACATTCATTTGATGTTCAAAATATATGCAATTTGTTTTCATGTAATAAAAATACCCAAGTCTCACATATTTTACATACATTTTTCTTTAGTAACCAGTTCCTTATTTAATCTGTCTCATTAGTTTTTCCCCTCTAATCACTATTTATCAAACCTCAAGATGACAAATTATAATTTAATGAAGTATTTCAATTCATATTCTTATTGACCTCAAGGTCATCTCAGAATATCTGACATTTATTGAGACAATATTTTCCCAGCTCTGAAGTAAGCACTTCCACATGCATTATAAATAAACATGTGTAGATCTTTTTTGTCTTAAAAATAGCCCTAAAAGGTAGGTATTACCATCATCATCTTAAATGTTAGTGAAGTTTGAAAAAACAAAGTATGTTTTCCCAAGTTACAAAACTCATAGAGAGATCTGAGCGTCAAAACTTGGTTGTCTATCTGCCACAAATGTTTTAACCCGTTGTGTGGTCTCATAGTGTTCCATGTCATTGAATCTCTGGATTTTATTTGCATGCCAGGGACAATCGCACCAAGTGTCCCAGACAGAACTCTCTTTAATCATTTAATTTAAATGTGCATATTCCTCCTTAGAGAAGTATTTGTATTTATAGGATACCTGATTCTAGGCCTGGGGGTAGGAAAGAAGAATAGGTGTTAGTCTGTCTTAGAAACTACTCGGTAAATTATAGGTTGTCTAGACACATTTTGTGGTCTCAAATCCAGCAGCTGATTCTTGTCACACTGCTGAGAATAAAGTGAAATAGAAGCAAGATTAGAAAATCCTTAAAAAAATAGTCATGGATGTTACAGTACTGATTTCAAGGGTACTCTGAGGTTTGAAAGGTAGAGCACAGAGAGGCAGAGGCAGAGGCAGAGAGAAAGAGAGAGAGAGAGAGAGAGAGGCTCTCCATTCGCTGGTTCACTCCTCAGATGACCACAATGGCTGGAGCTGGGCCAATTGGAAGCTAGGAGCCAGGAGCTTCCTCTGGGCCTCCCACACAGGTGAAGAGGCCCAAGGACTTGGACCATCCTCCACTGCCCTCCCAGGCCATAGCAGAGAGCCTGATCAGAAGTGTAGCAGCTGGTACTCAAACCAGTGCCCACAGAGATGCCGGCACCGCAGGTGATGGCTTTACCTACTACACCACAGCACTGGCCCCTGAGGGTCAGTTTTAAAGCCTACTTGAGTTCCTTCATTTTTCCAACTTTGAACCTTTCTTTCAAGTTTTCTTCCTGTGCATGATCATTACATTTTTGACTCCAGAATCAGTGCTCATCTCTCTCGAATAGAGCTTTGTAAAATATATTATCTCTGCCGGCGCCACGGCTCAACAGGCTAATCCTCCACCTTGTGGCGCCGGCACACCGGGTTCTAGTCCCAGTTGGGGTGCCGGATTCTGTCCCAGTTGCCCCTCTTCCAGGCCAGCTCTCTGCTGTGGCCCGGGAGTGCAGTGGAGGGTGGCCCAAGTCCTTGGGCCCCTGCACCCACATGGGAGACCAGAAGTACCTGGCTCCTGCCATCGGATCAGCACGGTGCGCTGGCCGCAGCGCGCCAGCCACGGTGGCCATTGGAGGGTGAACCAACGGCAAAGGAAGACCTTTCTCTCTGTCTCTCTCTCACTGTCCACTCTGCCTGTCAAGATAATATATATATTATATCAAAATAAGCCAGAGATTCAGAAGAGAGAGGGTTTTGAGAGCTGGATTAGGACAATGATATCCAAAACCCCCTCCTACCTCCAAGTTTTCACTTGGTTCACAGAGGTTTTGTGGTGAAAACCACACAAACAGAATTCTTGTCTGAAGAGTTTATAAGTGCTTTTCTTGAATCATACAATTGAGTAGCGTTTAAGAAAGGTACAAATGCTCCACTTGCCTTGTGAGACTCTGGTCCTTTTCTCCAAGTTGCCAGTTTGATTGAAAATTTCCCATTATTTAGCTAATTTCCTGGGGTTACAAAGGTGTAAGCCTATGTGATGTTTGTGTAGTAAGTACATATGACTCGAAGGGCTCTCTTTTATATCTGTTTCCCTGCTCCATCCCGTGAGTGTCTGCTATGTTAAGATGTTATTAGTAGCCTTGCTAAATCTTGGAGTAGTATAGCCTCTAGATGACCAAGTAAGTAAGTATTTTCTCAGAGCCCTTTTATATATCACTGTCTGAGTTTCCTCTGGCTTCTGTAGCAAATTACCA